GTAAACTGTTTTAAAAGTATTTTCATATGTTGAAAATTTATGTCATCCTTAGCTTTGTACAAATACGTTCTTACAGTCTCTAGCATTCGACATACCAATAAATCGTAGTAGCTTATAATGTTTCACTCCTGTTCAAAATATTCCTATCGGAAACCCACCTTTCACCGGAAGAAAGATTCCTGACTACAAAACGAATAGAAACGACAGGATAACACAACATCGTCAGGTGGTATAGCAATTTTGATATTTAATACTCTTAAGCCCGGGCAGTTTCCTACAACATTCTCGCCAAACAGTCGGAATAGAAATATTTGTTAATAATTCGGAAATAGTAATAAAAGCTGCATACAAACCACCAAATTAAACATTTCCATCTGACGTTTTCAGCGACATTTTTGGCAGCTATCCCCGAGTAATAGAACAAAATATAGTAAACATACAGTTTGGGGATGTCGTACCACTACAGCCCCGGTTCAAAGACTTTTTAATTTGGCTCATAATAATAATATTTGTATATTAGCTCCCATAGCTGACAACGATTTCCATTCAATTCAAGTATAGTTCCAGATTATTTGGGATACAGTATTAACCAAAAATATAAATCTTCGTATATTCTATATTCTATAGTCTATTACACGATCTTCAAACGGATCACAACCTAGTACTAATAACCTTTTCAAACCCATAGAAGAAATTAAATAAAAAACGAATGTAACAGCAAAAGTAAATTGGCCCAAATTTCCATACCTAAAGCAAGAAAAACACACATACCCCACAAATCTATACCAGCTCTAGAATTCGAAATCACAAAATCTAATACAGGTATCAATGAATCATTAAAACAATGCAACGACACTAAAAAGCATAAATTGTGCTTGCAAGAATAAACACATTCCAACACGGTTATTAAATTTAATTAAAACCAAGCGAAATCTGGCAAGAAACACATACACGATATCAGATCCAAACTGAACCAGCTATCGCAAATAGTAACATTAGAGCTAGACAAATCCAGATATTTTAAATTTCAACAATCATTTAAACAAATAGACACAAATTCAGCTCATCTCTGGTCAACAGTCAGACGTATCACGGGAGAAAAAACCAACATTTCCCCCTAAAAATCAGTAAAACAAAAGCATATTCAGATGAAGAAAATATCAAAATCTTAGCTGATCACTCAGAGCAAGTTTTCCGATAGCAATGCCAACCCATAATAAAATTATTGAAAGTTATGTAAATGAGCCTCAGGTTTCAGTAACAACGCAAATAAGGTTTATCTCTCCATCTGAAGAAGTCTGAAAGGTTATTAGCCGGTTAAAAACGAGGAGTATAATGGAGTAAATAATAATACCATAATGGAACTCAACAAGTTTTCCCGCACTCACGGCAATATTTAATGCAATTTTATGACTACATCACTTCCCAAATGCATGGAAAACCGTCATCAACATACCTTTTCGTAAACGAGGAAAAGATCGCAGATTTAAAGAAAACTGGACCTATCAGTTTGCTTCCCACTTTATCAAACAGTTTTGAAAGATTGTTGCTTAGTAGTTTTAAAAATACCTTAGAGAAATAAACGAATTTCCCGATGAACAGTTCTGCTTTAGACCTAACCATTCATGCACGCGCCAGTAACTGAGACACGAAAAATATTGCCGACAGCCTTCATCAAAAGAAACGCACTGCAGCAGTTTTCTTAACATATTGCATAGGCATATGACAGGATCTGGTACGCAGGACTAGTGTATTTATCAGCATTTAATCTGGATCAGCATTTTAGCTGAAACCCGATTCTTATCCCCTCAAGGGGGGGATTAGCTCTGGGTGTATTGTCGATGAGACAATGATAGTGAAGGATGAAAGGACGGCACACACACATAGACATACCCAAATGCACCCTCGCTCCAGGCGGGACTCGAAACCGCAGTCTTCTGTTCTGATACCGCTTCGGCCCTACTGACCACTCACTCGGTAGACTTTTAGAGATGTTATATTACAACACCAAATAATAAACTTAGTTTTATCTTTCACACGCACACAAGTTTCCTCCAGTTGTAGTTGGTGCTGAGTTTGAACTGACTGTTATTTAGCAGCAAATACTGCCATCATTCATTTTTTTACCTTCTGAACTGAAGATGGAACGCAGAGAACTGCTATTGGCAGTCCGTGTTTGTGTATACCATGAAAATATTAAATTAATGGTCGACGGGGCAAACATTTCGCACTTAACAGAAAATTCTGGCGTGTTTGTAAAACTATCTCTCAGAGCAGCCCACCGCTCGAATTCCCCTCCGGACACAGATTAGTAACGAAGTGTCGTAAATCCTAGCACCTCTAACATCTTCCGGTCAGAAGTACTGTAGTGACGTCAGTCGATGCCCTGAGTCTCGTAACCCGGTTACTGTATTCGGACATTTTCATTCAAACGTCAATTTGGTGCATTCGCGAAGACGTAATGACGTAATCCCATCCTCCTGCCTCGTATCTGAAAGTTGATCTCTTTATCTCCAGATTGCTATTGCTCTCTGTATAAATGACGCGACGCACATGGTGTTCGAAGAGCATTCCGGGAAACTTAGTCTGTTGTTACCGGCGCGTGGTGAGTCCCGAAAGATGCTACAAACTATGAAAGATGAAGAATATGGCTCACGAGAAGCCTCTCAGCACGATCGCAGTTGCGTACATGTCAACCCATTTCGTCCGTGTCTGTAAGTTTCTGTTTACATTTATTTTGAACTTAGTAAGGGTAGTGAAATTAAATATTTTTCAACACTTAATACATTTATCGTTACCGAAGGTAAATATTTTTATAATTATTGCAAAATGTGGAGATTCAGTTGTAGGGAACGATTAATTTCAATGAAAAATGGAGATGGTTGCAGTTCCTTAAACATTAGAATATAAGGGATGCGGATAATAAAGAGAAGTGGTCCCGTATTTGTTCAGTATTGGCGGGAGGATGGTTGATTTCATTTCATTATCTCTACCAGATCGCGGAGGAAGACGTGGAAGGGTTCAGCGCTCGTTATCCAAATTGAAACGGGATGTGCCGGAAACGGTAGTTTGGGGAGAAGTGGTCGATAATGTGACTATAGTTTTGTGAAAATACTTATTGGTTTTGAACCAAGGAACATTTACTGCTACAACACTACTGTGCGGCTGGAGTGGCATAAGTGAGTAGCAGACGTAAAAATAAATGTGTTAATCAGGAGAGCAGACTAACTTAATGATGTGATGACGGTTAAGTACTCGTCGAAAATAACCTAGGCGTCTATTGCCTTTAATCAACTTGGCGGTAATGTTGAATTAAAGAAAATATCGCCTCACATAATTTTGAATAAAACATAGATTTCCGACTATTACGTCGGCGTCGTGAATCACATCCGTCTCTCTGCCCGTCTCTCTGCACCCGTCTCTCTGCACCCGTCTCTCTGCACCCGTCTCTCTGCACCCGTCTCTCTGCACCCGTCTCTCCCTCCCTGTATTTCTGTCTTTTTGTGCGTCTCTCTTTCTGTCCGACTGTGGACGCTAGCCATTTGACCATAAGTAGAATTTTCAGTAAAATTGATATTCTTTTATCAGTCTGACTGCTGTCGCGGTCTTTGACTTTCAAACGGGCATTTTAATTTAGGGGGTAATTTACATGGAAGCTTCAAAAACATTTTCATTTTAATTGCGAAACTGTCCGAAAATTATTTGATTTTTTTGTCGGAGAGACTAAAATAGGTCTATATGAGTGTGATGGGTTCGATTTTCATTGAATTCTTTGAATTTTTGGCTATTGTATTGAATTCAAACAAAGATACAGATTATCTCCTGAATCAAATAAATTCAAAACAATTCAAAATTTCATCTTTACATGAGGTACATTTTTTTTCACAATATGAGTGGTTCATGCGTATTTGTATGTGAAATAAAAGGAATTTTAAAACGAAGGTTTTCTGAAGAAAAAAACGTTCTAATTGTTTTATTTCTTTTATTCGGTAGTGTAAAATACGATTATGAAAGTGTCGCATGTCCAAACATTTGTTCTCCGAATTCCGTAAATTGCAAAAGGTGAAAATAATGCGATGCAAAATTTACAAAAATACCCAAAGTTGTCAATTCTGCGAGGGTGTATGTGTTGTCGTTGCTCTAGTTCAAATGGCTCCAAAGTTATTTAAAGTATAGTATTGATGAATATAACATACCAGGTAACCAACCCTAAAATACGATTACAAAACAATGCTAAGGCAAACTAAGTGCTGTTGAGCCATAAAAATAATAAAATTACTGCTCTAAAATCCTGTTTTCTTTGGAGAATTCCTGTTCCATAAACCGAGCTGTAATCTGCGAATACTGTAATTTCCATTAATGCATATTTTTAAATGGCCCCAAAGTTGTTGCAGCTTAAAGCACTGTGTTGATGTGTACTCGTATTTTAGGATTGATTACCACGTTTATTAGAGTAATTCCTATTATATTAACTTATTATTATAATAACATTAAAATTCAAGTATAATGATTATAAATCTTTTTGATATTGAAAATGATTTTTCATACACATTTACAAAACAGTAAAATTTGATTTTCTCAGTTTTTCAATTTGTTTAAAAAAAGTTTTACCTTTAAATCCTTCTGTATGTAGAATCCCAATTTTCATTGTAGATTTTTTCATGTCTCACGATTCCACTGCCATTCCCATCTCCACGATACCACCACCACCACCACCACCACCACTACCATCACCTCGCCTATCATCGCCTTGCCCATCGCCAATACTTCGCCTTCCACGATTATCTTGCTCATCGTCACTTCGACCCACCGTCACCTTGACCGCCACCACTTCAACCACCCTAACCCCCGATTACGTCGACCACCATCTCCACGTCTGCTCATCGGCAGTATCGCCACCACCACCACCACCACCACCACCACCACCACCACCACCCACTTCTTGAACGAAGAGTGAGCTCGCCCGCTCGCTTCATCGGCCCGCGTGCGCGTGCGTGCAGGTCGTCGCGGATGGCGGGCGCGGAGGCAGCGAGCGCGCGTGCCGCGGGCGCGCGGGCGGTGTTGCTGCGGCGCGTGCCCATCGCGGGCTGGCTGCCGCGCTACTCGGCCGAGGCCCTCGTTAGCGACCTCATCGCCGGCGTCACCGTCGGCCTCACCGTCATGCCGCAGAGCCTCGCCTACGCCACGCTGGCGGGCCTCGAGCCCCAGTACGGCCTCTACTCGGCCTTCGTCGGCTGCTTCGTGTACGCGCTCTTCGGCAGCGTCAAGGACGTCACCATCGGCCCCACGGCGCTCATGGCGCTCATGGTGTACCAGCAGGTGCACGCGCGCAACGCCGACTTTGCCGTGCTGCTCTGCTTCCTCTCCGGATGCGTGCAGCTGCTCATGGCCGCCTTGAACCTCGGTGCGTTTTTGGCTTTCTATTTTTAAAATTTATTCACTTAGCTGTAGGTAATCAAATGTACATAAAGTACAAATTATTCACAATATATTTATTTGCATATCACCAATATATTTATTTGCACACAATATTATGTACATGGTGATTTTTTTTTATCTTGAGACAACTAAATTTCTTGAAAACTAAGAATCGTATCAAGAAATGTTTCGAATAAAATTTGTCTCAGAAGGGGCCTATTGGATGATACCAATATCGACCTGGCACCTCCACCACCTGGGGATGGGGGTGGGACAACTTGCGAATTTCAGATGGGAACCCCCATTTTTTATAGCGTATTCGGATTCTCCGCAAAAAAAAAAAAAACGTAGATTTTGTTTGAAACATTTTTTTGGTTTTTTTTTTCAGTAGATGGCGCTGTAATCGTAGAAAACAATTTTTCGCAATTTTGGTGAAATTGCACCACGAGGTGAAAGAACATGATGAGGTTTTTAAGAATCTTATGTAGTATTGATAAGAGTGAGCACCCCTCAACCTCTGATAGAGAGCAGGGGGGTAACTTTTAAATTTCAAATGGAACAAATTTCTATAACATCGGGGATACTTGTAATCACCAACGGGATGCTTGTTTTGGGTGAGTCCCCTTGCCTCTCATCGTCGGGGTGCTTGATTTAAATAATCATTTCAACAAGTGCTCAAATCTTGGCCACCCACTTCGATGCATTTATTTACCCGCACTTGGAAAGATTGAACACAACTAAGTAGTTTTGGGGGCGGAATCTTATGACATGCAGCGGTGATTCGCTCAATCACGTTCTCGCGTATTGTTGGCAGTTGATCATAAACTTCACCCTTGAAGTGACCCCACAAATAAAAATCAGGGGAGGTAAGATCTGGTGATCTGGCAGGTCAAGCTACTGTACCACCTCTTCCGATCCACCGACGAGGGTACACGCGATCTAATACTTCTCGTGCTTCTCGATAATAATGGGCTGGACAGCCATCATGTTGAAACTACATCGTCTGTTGCACATTAAGAGGAAGTTCTGCAAGCAATAACGGAAGTTCGTTCTCCAAGAAGTTTCGATATTTTCCACCATTACACCGGACGATGAAATACGGGCCGATGAGTTTGTCACACCAAACATTCACGTTCCAAGGCGCAGATGTTCAACTTGACGTAATCAATGTGGGTTTTCGGTATTCCAAATAATGCATGTTGTCGATTGATTTGCACCGCGATTCAAGTGCATCAGAGAACAATGCTCTCGCATAGAGTTGAGAATCCCTTTGTATTTGCAGAAGCGCCCATTAACAGAAAGTTATTCGATTCTGAAAATCATCGCCATGAAGTTCTTGATGCAAGGAAACATGAACCTGATGATATTTATTGGTATTCAATATTTTTCAAACAGTATTTTGGCTACTTCCCGCACCATGACTTATTTGTTGAGTACTGATGTGTACTGCAATTGCATTAGTAGTAGAGAACAGTTGAACAACCCGGTGAAGTGGAGCGCGTGATCGAAGCCCGTCTGGAAAACGTTGAGCATAAAGAGTAACAGAATCATCAAGATTCCTGCCACTTTCTCCATAAATTAACACAATTTCAATCTTCTCTTGCAACGTTATAGCCGCCATCGTAACCAGTACAGCATTCAATAAAAAATACTTAGAAATGAAGGAACCTGACTCAAAAGGGACGATGCGCACTGATTGAAAGTAGACCAAAAACTAAGGTAACCTAATTCAAGAAGTCAAGGACGGTGCTTGGCGAATGGAAGCGGACTAAAAAATAAAAATAATAATAATAATGTGCTCCCAATCGTTGCAGTCCAGGAACTGAAGAACGATGTGCCTCCAATGGAAGGAGACCATAAACTGAGAGCCGAAGTGCACGCAATGGAAACAGAAAATGGTTGTTGGACTTTTCGGCGTACACAAGACGCAATCGATTTCCGATAACGTCATCACGCAAAGTTTGTTAATTTTTTTGTCTGAAAACTTTACAAATTTTCAAAAACTTATTTTCGTTTTTTTTATTTTTTATTTTGGAACGTTTTAGCAAGAAGATCTTGGAAGAGTTATCCCTTTTTAGCGCGGCAAATTCAAATTTGCAATTTGAAAATTTTGTAAAATAACGCAAACTTCTCACATTTTTAAACAATTAGATAAGAACTTTTTTTAAAGATCTGATTGTTTAAAACCCTTTTTTTGTAACAAAAATATATATTGTATTGTACATGTCTTGCTAATTTTTTGCTTGAAGTTTTCCAAAATACAGAGTGCGCCGAAAAAGGGACGTGCATCATTTTTTTACCACTCTAGAAAAAATTGGTATCCGGTTTTTGTGAAAATAATTGTTTAAAATGATTTTAAAAGCATCTATGTTTCATGCAAAATTACGCCAGAAAAACTCATATTTTCGCAAAATTAAACCATGACTTTATTTGAAGATGTTTCTGAATGAACACGTTTCATTAAGGGAAAATATTTTCATAATTCTAGTTGTATAGCAAGACGCTGGAAAACATTTCAGTTTTTAAAATTTTCGAAAAATTAGGGATTTTATCGAACCTGAGACCTCTACCATTCTCTTAAACATCCGTTACGCTATCCAAGGTCAAACTTTATTTAAGAAAATTGATTCCATTTTTTTGAAAATGACCGATTTAATTTAAATTTAAGGAGTCGCGTCATCAGCCACATCGATTGAGGAATGTCAGTCTTGGTGAAAATCGTGCTTACACTTCAGGCGCTAGCGTTGTTTTCAGGCGGACCGAGGTTTTGCCGTCAACCCATTTTTCGGTAACAAGGATCCACAAAAAATGGACTCTGACTACTCAACTGTTAAAGGAAGTAATTTCAATCGTTATCAGGATCCAGCAATAAGAGTTTTTCTGACGAAAATTCACCCTTTTTTCCTCGCAGAATTACATAACTGCAAAACAAAAGTTTTGTAATGCGGCGAGGAAGAAAGGGTGAATTTTCATCAGAAAAACTATTCTGCGTAAGCGGTAGCGAGAAAGTAAGACTAGAAAATTTGGCGTAATTTGTGTTTGAAATTTATGCAATTTATAAAAAACATTTTTTCGAAAACTGGTCCTCATTTTTTGCTTTCAATTTTTCCATGTTTAAATAGAAGGGACACTTAAGAGTGGTGCAGGTCTCATTTTCATAAATACTTCTGATATTTCAATAATTTTTAAAATTCGATTTTCTTTTTAATGCATTGGGAGTGTTCTTTAAACAAGATAAGTAAAGTGGTCTTGTAAATAAGTTTATCGTTTGTGGACCTTAAGTGCCTGGTTTTGAATGGATAATATTTTTTGCGTGTAGAAACAATTTTGGTGTAGCATGTTGGTTTAATTAGCATTATAATAGAATAAGAGATTCATTACAAATAATGCTGGAAAGTATGTGCTTTTGAGCCCAGTTGTGTAACATTTGGGGGGCCCAGGTAAAAGAGGGCCTATTTTTGATCTAAAGGTTTGCGATTGCAAGAATTGCGAGCATCAGGTTTTGCGAATGTTTTTGTAGTAATTATAGACTGATGATTATACATTTTTTTAAGAATATTTTTTATTATTTAAAGTACTAACACTACTTGTGTTTGCTATACACTTTTATAAAAAGAACCCAAATAAAAGTTTTGCAGGCGGGCCCGCATTCATTTCGTTACGCTACTGTGTAAGCTACTTGTTTCAACTTATAATTCAAATGTCATTTCACATAATTATTTAAGCATAAAAGAAGAGTATTAAAAATTCTACATAGGTCTAAAGTTCTTATCATTATTGTTTTACATTTTTATTATTTTCTGGAAAATTTGGGATTGTGCAAGTTCACATAGTGTACTGTTCACAAGTTCGTAGTTAAGAATACTGTTTTGTGAAATAATATTCATCATCCTTTCATAAACGACTTGGTACCTTGTACACCAAATATTTGTAAGTTCTCCAAATATTTTTGTATAAGAGTGATACTAATGACACTGCGTGCAATTTATTAGGTTTTTTTATACTCATTTGTTTTGTTTTTGTTTACAGGAGTTCTGGTAGACTTCATTTCAGTCCCTGTAACTGTTGGTTTCACCTCTGCCATGGCTTTCATAATTTCTTGCTCCCAATTGAAGGGTCTGTTGGGACTAAAATTTTCTTCATCAGGATTTATTGATACAGCAACCAAAGTTGTGCAGCATTTGCCTGAAACTCGGCCATGGGATGCTACCCTTGGTTTTCTTTGCATCTTTATCCTTTTATTTTTAAGGGTGAGTTTGTTTTATTTTTATGAATACATTTGAATTGAGAGAAAAATTATTTTCATTTTTTTTTTATTAAAATTGTTATTATATCTTGTTTATTTCTCTTTGTCCACAGAAAATAAAGGATGTGAAACGACATGCTCCTGATGTAAAGCCAACTCCACGCCAGAGAATAGGCATGAAAATTCTCTGGTTGCTCTCAACTGCACGAAATGCATTAGTAGTGATTGTATGTTCTATACTAGCATTTCTGTTGTCACCTCCTGCAGATGGTTCTGATCAAGATGCCTCACCTTTTGTGTTGACTGGGACTGTTCGTTCTGGATTGCCTCCTTTTGGTCTGCCCCCATTTTCTACTACTATTGGAAATCAGACATATTCTTTTGGAGAAATGTGTTCCGGGCTGGGCTCTTCCATTGTTCTGGTGCCCATCCTTGCTGTTCTGGGAAATGTGGCTATAGCAAAAGCTTTTGGTATGTTGAATAAATTTTTCACTTTTTTTCACTCATTAAATGTAAACTACTGAGAATTCATTATAAAAATGCATATTTCTTTTTTTTGGTTTTGTTGTAAATTATTAGTTTAATTTACAGTAAAAGTTAGTCCAAAGCTATAATTATTTTTTAGTTCATTTTAAGTGGTACATGTTACCTTTTAGAGTTGTAATATTACAATTTGGGAAAATATGTGGTTTATGGGCCCTACTAATTAAAATTAATTAACTTCTGTGTAATGGGTGTAATGCTGTGGTCATACATGGACTTTATTATTATTATTGAAACGTATTATTTTTGTTTTTCAAAATATGTACATGTGTAAATGTTTTGTTTTGTCTTCTATTATAAACCATTAGAAGTATAACTGGTTGATACTTATTATTTTAGTTACATCTAGTAGATCTTACCTTTTAATCAACGATCTCAGTCGTAATCTTTGGAATATTTTCCGTAGATTCATGGAGGTGAATGCTATCATTAGTTTGTGGGTAGAAAAAACTTAAAATGTTGATATCTTTGCATGTTAATGAATTATGGTGTAAACTGTTTTTTCAGCTAGTGGTGATTCCGTTGATGCTACACAGGAGCTTATGACTCTTGGTCTGTGCAATCTTTTGGGTTCCTTCGCATCATCCTTTCCTGTTAGTGGTTCATTTTCTCGAAGTGCTGTAAACCATGCCAGTGGAGTTAAAACACCAATGGGTGGAGTTTTCACAGGTTTGTTTCATATACTACTTACATACATTTCATACTGAGATTAGGATATTGAATTAATTTTGCAATATTTATTTTACAGGACTTCTTATTATTTTAGCCCTTGCTGTGTTGACACCATATTTTTATTACATTCCTAAAGCTTCTTTAGCTGCTGTAATTATTTGTGCTGTCATATTTATGATTGAATATGAAGTTGTGAAGCCAATGTGGAAATCAAGTCGTAAGTTCACAACTTTTAATTAACAATGTAAAAGATAAAACCTTTTAATTTTGTTTAGTACATTATCCCATATGTAGTTAATTAGCTTATGAATAAACTTGATTATTAGAAATTAATTGAAACCATTCAGATTCAGAACAAAACATTAAATGCATTTTATTTCAAGGACATCCTAATATTTTTGTTGTATTTTAATGTTAAATATTATTAACCCATTAGTGCCTCACGCGTCCATATAGACATGGTTTAGGACACTTTTTAATTTAATTATCATTGTGAATTGGTACTGTCTCAGTTGCTAATGATGATACTACGTTTAAAAGAAATATTTGTTAAGTAGAACAGAGTGCCTTTGATTGTTGTCGATTCATCAGTTGTTGCGCCAGCGTTCTCAGAAGATTGTGTAGACCGGTAATATGGATTTCACTTTATTGTAAGTTTCTTCTCTTCTGTGCTTTTCCGGACAGTGAATTCAATAGCTAGTAAAGCACTGTTTAATGTATATATTCGTATTTTGAATGTAACGTTTCCATAAATGAAATATTAGCATCAAAATGTCTCAGTATCCACAAGGACATCCTAAGTACTAACCGTGTCAATCGTATAAAAAATACTCGTCTAACAAAATCATTCAGTTTTTATTACTGCTTTCTTGTTTATGATTTATAGTTATGTTTTAGATAAATTAAACTATAGGTCTCCATAAATTGTTTTAGAAAATCTGTTTATCTGATGATGTGACTGCCAATGAAGCCCTGGACATTTTGTTTGGGGATGATGGAAATTCAGATCGAGTAGAATGTGTATATATGGCACCTTCAGCTCTATAAGTGCATACACCTGAAGATTCTGGAGGTGAAAACAAAGGGGTGTAGCCCAAAATTTAAGTGTTCGTTGGCCTATTTCTCCTTCTGATATAAGATTTACCAATGATGTACCAATAGATTTTCTTCTCCAAGCAAATAAACGACCTTGGGTGAACGGAGATCTTGAAACATTTCTTCAGCCATTTCCACTACACAGGAACTATTCAAATAATTGTAATTGTTCCCAAGTATGAATGTTCAAAAGGTTCTTTGATAAAGAAATAATAAAACAATTGGCTGAAGTATCAAATAAGTATGCTACACAACAGAATTGCCCCAACCCATATATATCTTGCAATGAAATAAAGTGTTTTTGGAGTGTACGGATTCTTAGTGAACACAACTCTGTACCATCCAAAATAAATTATTAGGAAGTGGCAGCTAAAGACACTTGTAATGAATTGGTTGTCAATGCAATGAGAAGAAACATGTTTGAAAAGATACTGAGGTTTTTTACATGTTGCTAATAACAATGAATCTGATTTGACAGACAGATTATGGAAGATTTGTGTTGATTAACAAAATACAAGAAAAATGTCAACAGTTGTTCAAACCTGAATTTATCATATGACGAGTCTATGGTTAAATATTTTGACCATCACTCTTGCAAGCAATTTATACGTGGAAAACCCATACACTTTGGATACAAAGTGTGCAGTTTCTGGATATCTTATTGATTTTGAAATGCATCAGGGCAAATCTTTCAATCCAATGAAAAATATGAAAAGTATTTTGGAAAATTGGCTTCACCTTTGATACCTATGATTGACTCAATGACACCTGAAGTTCAAAACCTCTCACTTCACTTTTACTTCAATAACCTTTCCACAAGTTTTCCGCTGCTGTGTTACCTCGGAGATAGAGGATACGGAGGGATCGGAATAATGAGAGAACAAAGAATTCCGAAGGCTGATCGCTTTACAAATAAAAATATTTTGCTAAAATGCCTCATGGATATTTTGAAAGCACTATTTGTAAAGATGGTGTTTTGATATGTAAGTGGAGAGATAATTCTATTGTGACCACTGCTAGCAATGCGACAGGGATTTTTCAAACATCTAATGTTTCAAGATACAACAGACACAAGAAAGCAATTATTCAGGTAACCCAAGGCAGATTTATACTGAATATTCAAAATTTTTGGGAGGTGTTGATAGAATGGATGAGAACATTTCAAAATATAGTATACATATTCGAAACCACACATGGTATTTGCCTCTCCTCACTTGGCTTCTTCTTAGAAATTCGGGCAGAAGATTAACATATCTAGACTTTCGTTAAGAACTCACTCGCGTATACTTGGTAAAGTACCAAAATCCATCTGTAGATGCAGGAAGGCCTTCCTTGCTCTGATATATGTTTTGACTGGGTATATCATTTTGTTAAGAAAATTGACAAGAATCGGAGGTGTCAAAAGAAGTACTGCAAGGAGAAACAATCTGCTGTACGCACATGTGGCAAATGTGATGGCAGCTTGTGTTGAATGTATAGAGTACCATGCACTATAAAATATTATAATTGTTAAACCTGCTTGCTCTAGATTTTTTTGGTATTTGTTTAGGAAATTGCTATTTTCATGTTTTATTTTTTGTATTATGTAATCTTTTTGATCTTTCTTCTTTGTAGTTTGATTTAATTTGACAACTATTTTATCTCCTTATATACCACTTGATAATTACATAATAAAATTAGTTTTGATCTCTCTTCTTAGAAGAATCTTTTCAACTTAGAATAGATTTTCGTGACATTTAATTTGATCATGTCGTTATAATAAAATGTTTGAAATTAAAATCATTCTCATACTGACAACATTATATCCTAATGTGTCCATATGAACATGACACTTTTCTTATAAATCCTACATTAGAAATTTAGAAAAATATTTTCCCATGTGTTATTTAACAGATAGAAGTAAGAAAACTAGAAAAATAATTCTGGCACTAATGGGTTAATGTTCAGATAATGTGATGCAATAACTTTAATTATAAATGTATCAGGAAAAAATATTTACCTTGTAAATTTTAATTTACAGGCAAAGATCTTGTCCCTGCCTTTGTTACATTTATGATGTGCCTTATTTTGGGTGTGGAATATGGAATTGTAATTGGAGTAGGAGTAAACTTAATATTTTTGTTGTATCCCTCTGCTCGGCCAATGGTTCACATAGAGAAAGCTATGGCAAGTATACTTTCTTTGCAACTACATATAATAATTAGTGCACCTGCTATTGCATATTGAGTGAAATCTTCGAGGAATACCAACTGAAGTTTCCAGAAAAATTTTGCGATTAAAGAAGTATAATATGAAGTATTTGTAAAGAATTACCAGCAATATAGTAATTCATATTCTGTGATTTAGTAAAACACTTATGAAGAAACTTGAAATAATGAAATTATCTATTAAGTCTTGTATTGTTGATTTGGAGGTAACACAGTTCAATACTATTATTAAGTTTGTTTGGGACATTTCTATTTAGTTATTGAGTTGATAAACTTATTAATTACTTATCTGATAAATGAAATCAGAATCCAACTGGAATCATATCACTTTCATTTTAATAATTTTATCCTGGTGAACATCTAATACCTCATAAATATCACAACCTGCTAGGCGAATGGCTAGTGTTTCCGTTCTAATGCTGGGACTCAGTGAACAATACATTATTATCTTTAGGAATTATTAGAAAGGAATATTATTACTTTTTCTTATTCCAAGGATCTGTTTTAGAATCTTGTATCTGGTAATTAAGGTTTTGTTATTTGTTATAATACATTAATTAGTTAAAAATACTTTTCTGATGAATACATGTAATGCAGCATTCGCTTGGTTGTTATGGACAGAGTTGGTTATTTTGGAGAAATAACTATGACTTTCTCAAAAAGTGAGTTAATATCAGATATATCATTGACACTGAAAACATGATTGTCGAAATATATGAGTCTCTACCAAATTAATTATATTTTATTTATATAAATTTACAATTTTTGCATTTTTCATAAGAACTGATTTTGTCAATTGTTATCTCTTTCAAAAACTAATTCACTTGTTTATTCTTTCTCTTCAGGTTATTTTTGTGTATTGCATTTATTGTGTAAAGTTATCTACAAAAGCATAGTTATCTTCTTACGCTTTTATATTTGTATGAATTTCTTGTATATGTTTTTGTGTAATTATTTGCAGACTCATTCTGGATCAGAATATTTACTAGTGACACCATCAAATAGTCTTTATTTTCCTGCTGTTGACTTCATTCGCTCAAGTGTTGGTCGTGCTGGAATAACCCAAGGCTCAAGTCAAATGCCAGTTATTGTTGACTGCCGTTTTGTATTAGGAGCAGATTTTACTGCTGCAAAGGTACAATATGCATTTGATGTTTACCTGTTATGATAATTGATGATATGTCTCATGACTTATGATTATTTTTCAGGGTATTGCTGCTCTGATAGATGACTTTAGTAAGCGTAAGCAGCCAATTTATTTTTATAATCCTCATCCAAATGTATTAGCAGTATTTAAGGGAGCAAATCTTGAAGAATTTGTTGAAATTTGTAATCCTGAAGAATTGGAACAAATGCTTCAAGGTAACTACTGCCTTTGCTTATCATTTAAGTAAATGATTCTTAGTGTTAGTCAGTAGATGTGTTAATAGTGTGGTAGCAAATAAAAACCGTTAACATTTTTTTTTGTTACTGAGAGCAAAGCTAAATCCAAAAAATTTTTAAATAAAAAAAAAATTATTACTTAGCTGGAAAGAGACCAAATGAAACTGTTTTGGTCTTGGAAACTTTTTCACAATTTTGTGCTACTTGTTATGCTGGGTCCTTCTTTCAATCATGATAATTCACATTTAAGGACACTGCAACATGAGTTCTTTGGTACCATCATTCTTTAAGAACTGACTTGTAGAGTAAACAATCGAAGTTACAGTTTTTGGTCATTTGTCAAGTTCTTTTGTTTTCTTGGATGCCTCAGACAAGAAAAGGCCTATTGCTTTTTCAACTCTTCAAAATTGTGGCCAAGAATTCCTGTAGAAACTGAATAAATCTTGGTAGAGTGGTAATATTTAGTTCAAGAGAGGTAACAAATCTAAAATAAAAATTCAACTTTTCAAAAAGATTTATGATGCATTAAAGATTGATTGAAATTTTGGGGAAAGAATTGAAATATAAACAATGCAATGCTATTAGAAAGAAAGTTATTTGTGGTATTTTATTGCAATTATGTGTTTATATTGTGACATACCAGAATGTCTCTCAGGTGTGATATGGAATTGATGCATCATGAATGTTAAAATACAAGGAATACCCATAACATAGCAACGAACTAATAAACATATAGGCGTGTTGTGCTGGATGCTAGGAACAGGAACTGCATTGTTGAGGTACTGCATGACCTGGTGTCATTAACATGGAATTGATTAGGGAAGGGCATTGAAAATTTAGCGTAACCAAAAAGAAGCAAATCCTCATTCTCACGGAAGCAGCCAAGCAGTTCAGATGGTAATGAATATTATAACATATTCATTTTGCCATAGTAAATTTACGTTGTATGTGAATGTTTGTTTGATCAGTTCATAATAGTGTAGACTAAGTAGTATTGTTCATTTGAGTTTTAAGTGGGGAAATGTTTGCATTGTTGTAATGATAGTTACATTTGTGGCGGGTTCAAACCCAATCAAAACCGTGAATTTTTAAGGGTGAAAAAATCCTTTGTACGCCTTCCTTCAGAGGGGAAGTAAAGCCGACTGTCCCATCTTAGTAGATTTACTTACATGTAAAAGATCCTCAAGCCTAAATGATGCCTCTGAGCTAAATTGAAATCGCCTGTATCTCGCCCAAGAAATACCTCCTTCCTCTGCTAGTTGGTGAAAGGAGCGTAGTGAAATTTGCATGGTCACACGGAAGAGCAGGCCTCATGGCCTGAGTCTCGCCACGTAAAATAAGGCATTAATTCATTTCAATTCAATTCAATTTGTTGTTGTGTTGGAATTTTGCATTTAAAAATATTTAGACTTTGTGTTCATGAGTGTACATGACGTTTGTTCCATAGTGGGAATTTAAAATTGTTAATTTAAAGGACATAGTAGTCGTGAATAGAGGTTTCACCCAAAGCCTAGTGAGGGAAAGTCGCGACGCAATTATATAAAGCAAATGTAGGGATTTCTGAATAGCGGACTAAATAATTAACAACAGTCAGGAACATTTATAGTTTACACAGACATTAGGTTATCACATTACACCACAGGAGGACCCTGAGACAGCAGACAGCAGCATCGAATCAACCGAGAAGACATTCTGTAACCTTAAGGTTTAGCAATGTTCAAAGGCATAGAATCATTTATCAATAATGAGCTAGAGTCATGTTATTAGACTTTTACAATTAATGTTAGTGTTTGTTTGAAAAGAAAAGGCAGATATTTCATTGAATTGCCATCAATTCACTAAGAAGTAAATTCCACAGAAGATCCAGGAATCTTGATTTCACATCCACGTGCAACAGGTGAGGTTACATATGTTGTACGTCGAACTCATGTGAGATCGTAAAGAAAAGTAGAGCTAGCCAAAAAATGGTTTATTAGAGCAATTAATTTACAAGCATAGCAGGGCAAATTAAATTAAAAGAATCATAAAACCGTTACAAATGGCTGCCTAGCTTGGGGCATGATAAAATAAATTTAATTAGTAACATCCAACGTTAATGCAGGTTACAATATAGTAATATCTGCATTGTTGAGTTATCAAGGATAGGAAATGAAACAACAAAAAATATAGTTCATCAGATTTTTAATAATTTTCTATAATTTCATAATTATGTAGTAAAAAAATAACTGAGCAATTAGAAACCATTTCAAAATTAAAATGATATCAAAAACTCAATTTGAAATCTAAACTTAAATACTTTATTAACCAAAACTGGAATGCTATATAAAGTTAATTTGGTTATGGGCCTTATATTAAATTGTTAGGTGAATCAAAAGAAAAGTGTCTTATTTAGTGTGAAAACAGTACATTAATTGTTATGGGAGCCCCTTCACTTGGCCTCCTAATTAAGATGACAGAAAACTATCTCTTGAAAATTAGTCTTGGAATTGGTGAATTGTAATATTGTTTGTATGGCACTGTGCTAAACATTTTCATTTTCTGATAGAGAGAAAGAGATACCAAAGATATCTATGATCTGTGTGAATGTGTGTTGATTTTGATGAAATCCAGTTATTTATTATGAAAAAATCTAATATTAATTTAGAGTTTCAGCTTGTTGACCTTTTGTATATTTTAGGTAGTTTAAATGAAATAAGAGCAATATATTTGTGTATGAAACTTAAGAACAAGTTAAATTTTTCCCACAAGGGTACCTAAAACTTCATTCTAAATTTCTGTTTCACAAATTGCATTATTTGTGAATTGTTCTTGTATAAAAGATAGTAGTTCTTGTATAAAAGATATACTTTTTCTTGTAGTTGTCTTGCCTTTTCTTTTGTAGCACCAAGAGGCGACAATGATGTGACAAGTGACACAGGAGATGTAAGAATGAGGAATTTTGATTTACGAGAGGTAACTACCTCTTCTAATTCAGCTGCTTGTCTTCCTGTACCTGATTTGAACAGCCCAACTGAAAGTATTCCTGCACAAGTGGATCTGAGCAGTACACCACTGTTAACGAATTCACGATACAATGAAAGTTCTGTGGAACCTAGTGAAAGGTCATAGCAACTTAAAACATACTGAAGTCTTATTGGACTTAATGTTAATCATACTTCTTCTTCTTCTTCTTCTTCTTCTTCTTCTTCTTTTTTTTTTTTTTTTAAGATTAGAAGTTGGAATTTTAGCAATATACATTAATTATACATTCGACAGTGCTGCCAACATGACATAATTGTGACTGCTGTATTTTTTATTCCTTGCATGTGTTCATGTGTTACCACGCATCTGGTGAATTTTGCCTGTGGATTGATAACGCACCTTAAACCAGAAATTCATCTTTTCCAAAGTATATGTGAATTTTTATTAAGGACAAATAGCCATCATTAGTCATCATTAATACAAATAGCCATCATTGATCATCTTCTTAATGTACTTATGTATGTATGAATGTGACATTGCACAAAAAATGTGAACTATGAATCTAATTATTGAATGTGTTTCTTTGTTATGTTAGTTATGAATGGGTGGTTTTATTATACATATTTATAATACTTGCAAGGAACATAGCAATCACCCGTACATGCTGCCAGGTTTAGAAGTATTATTTTATTAAAGAAGATATTTTAATACAAACTATTGATTGAACTTTGTACTCATTTCTATTTGAAATTTCAGATAAAGAATTGCTATCTGAGAGAGAACTTGTTAGAACTACAGACACCTTTCTTTGAATTTTGAATTTCTGTATGTGTAGATAGTTTTCATTTCTATTCATAGGCAACATGGATGCATTTCTTAAACCTTTTAGATGTGGCGTTTTTTTTCCTTTTGTAGTCTTGGTGGTATAGACATTTTTAAATAGATTAATATTTTTGACCCCAATTTCTAATGGACTGACTTCATTGTGTGTTAGCGAGGGCCGGAGTGAGGTAATCATGTTTAGGAAGACAATGGCACCTGAAGGGCAGTGGGCCACAGAGAAGCACAGTGTATGTATGAGCTAAAATATGTTTGAGAGATGAATCATGGAACAAAGACTACAATTATTTGAAATACTTCTAAATTCAATTAAGATAATATATATTGAACAAATTTGTGGAAGTCTTGTGTAAATACAATGCGAACTCACAAATTCCATATCAAACTAAAGAAAAAATTATTTATATCAATTAGGTATTCATCATGTTTTTTTCAAACTCTACTATTCTTTTACTCATTATTTAAAATTCAGTATTTCGAAACAAAATTGGGCAGCCAATAAAAGAAGTGTAATTTGCTAACACATCTGAAAATTTAACGTTTCTCTTTCTTTTCTTTTTTCTCTGTGGGGAAAAAGCTGATCATGAACGTACAAACATTACTTCCCAAACTTTTAAAAAGTTAATTGCAATGTCTTATTCTGCCTCCCCTCTTATTATACTTATTTTTAGTTCTTTTCCTTCTTCCTATGTGTTAGGGTACCATCACCAGGTGGATGTAAGTGATCCTCATCCTCTTCTTTTACTTCCGAAGCTCAGCACACTGTAATTGCACAAAATTTCACTGTCACTTGCATAGCACCTAAACATCTCCTCTATCAACACTTCCCTTCCAGTTTATGAAGGGACTCCAATGTAATAATTTCTGTGGAATTGCTTATCAAGCGGAGAAAGCAGTCAGAGGACTGGAGGTCAGGTGAGAAGATTTCCTAATCGTACCGCTGGGCTAAAATACTGCGGGAATTATGTTTTACATACAGAACAGAAAGGTTAAGGCAATAAGTAATGAGTGCAACTGAGAAACAATTAAAAAGTATCTTTGAAGTATTTGTAACAAAAAGTCAAAACGTGTTCTTAATTGGAATGATTTTCAACATTTTGAAAATTGGTTTTCTCAAGAATAGTATACGTTCCACTAAAAGCTTTGAAATTAAAAGTAAATACTAAACATCCATTAAACTAATACCGAATCTCATCTGGAAAAATGTAATTTTGAAGTAAAAATATATTTTAATTGTAGAATCGTATTGTTCTAATTTGCTGTTAAAAGAGATGTGTTGATTACTGTTCATGGTATTAAAATTTTTGTTTTGGAATATTTGAATGCAAAATAACATTGATACTATTTAAGCAAAATCTTAATATTTATGGTAAAGATGATTTAATTATACTGTTGATATAGATGATTGGTATTCCAAAAGCAAATGTGCTGAGAGATGTGAGCAATTTCATATTGCCAATTGGAATTTTTTTAAATGTTTAATTGTAGTATTTCTTTATTAATGTTTTTTTAAGTATTATGTGTAAAATAAGGTACACTGTTGGTTGTATTATGTATTTTATATAAATTGTTTTGATTTGTCTCTCTTATGAAAATCATATGTCAATACCTTACATGAATGAATCATGCCTTAATATTCATTGTATTTAATTTATATTATTCATTTTTGATTTTATATTTGTTTTTCATGCTGTTCATATCTCACATGCTTTTTGAAATACATACCATTTTAAACTTATACAAGAGATTGAGGTGATTATTTAATATACTACATAATTCCATCCTTATTTCTTCATTCATTTCATCATTATTTCTGGATGTTCCATTTATTTTTGAAATTATTCTTTGTTGTCTGTATGATGTGCTGTAAATTTGAAAAAATATTTATAATAGTTTTCATTCATTTACTATTTCATTATTAAAAAAAACAAACAAACAACAAACTAACATATGAACTTAGCAGCAAAAAAGAAGTGTTTTAGTGGGCTTTCTGCTTTACTGCTCTCCGGAGCATCTATAACTGTTTACATCTTAATGAATTATGAAGAGACTAATTATGGTTTTTTTGGTTGTAAGTCTTCATTTAAAGGGAAAAAAAAACATGTAAGAATGAACTTAAAATATCTTGGAGACATGACAAAATATAATAGTATGTATTGGAAACAAGCAAGTGTTCCATAAACAAAACTTTAGAAGAACTGTCATAAAACCACAACAATCCACACTTAATAAACATTTTATAGCAAAAATGGCGTTTTTAGCAAGAAATGATAAGACAATATGTGCTCATTTTTGGCAGTGCCCATCACTGCATGTGCGCGATGTCAGCTCTCATTGACTGAAAGGCGTTGATATAGTCGAAAATGGGATATAATATTATTACATAACCGTTACTAATGGGGCAAGAAAGTATGTGCTGTTTTAGCACCACTAGTTTACTTAAGGAAATGTGTTCATAAAAAAAAAAATCTTAAAATTAGGTGATGTAGTTTTTGAAAAAATTAGTATTTTTGTGTAATTTTGCAAGAAACACAATAGCCTGCTCCCATTTGAACGTGCTTTGTTTTCAGCATCTTCCTATAACTGCATTTGTAAAAATATAATTCTTTATCATATATATGTTTATCAACAATAACTCTTCAAATAAGGTCATGCTCAATTTTTTTAAATATGAGTATTTTTGTGGCTAATTTGGAGACAAAAATAAGGGCCTCCCGAATTTACTGCACTTTCAAGTGCACTTTGTTGTCATAATTCCAGACATTTTAATACTTCGTAAGTTAGAATGTACTCTATAAGTTGATATAGATGCCGTATTGCTCTATGTGTTTGTGATTTTAAAAAATTACAAAAATGTAATTTTTTTGACCTCTCTCTCACGTTAATATTTGTACTCACAACAATTTGTCCACATTATTATATTTATGAGTACATGTGATTTAAATAATGTCGAATAAAGTTCCTCAAAAACAACAGTTTTCTGTGAAAAGTAGCTCAAAATTCCACGTCAGAAACGCTCGAGCAACATTTTTTCAAAAACGACTCAGACTTTTTTTCAAACTTTTCGAACTGTTAGTGTTAATTGTACTCTTTAATATAACACAAAGTTCATTCTGCTGTCTTCTTTTGTTTTTCAAAAGTTACACAAGTGTAATTTCTTTGAGAGATCTTTCACATTGTTATTAGGCATATTTTCATCAATTTGTGAACACTATTGTAATTAAGAGTTAATGTGTTTTAATGACTTCAAATGAAGTTTATTTTTGTTTGAAAATAGAGTTCCAAATTTCGAATTTATAGTAGCGTCTAAACACCAGTTTTTTATAAACGGCTTCAAATTTCTCAAGATAATTATCACTTAGGATGAGGTGTTACTCTTCTTTAATATTCTTAAAATAATATTTCCGTTCTACTATTAAAAAACCAAAACATTAAGAAATTACAAAAATGTGTACTTTGGGCAGCGATAGATGGCAGTTGGCAAGAGTATCTGGTGTGTCCAAATAGCTAGCTGAGACCAAAGCAAATACAAAACTAATACGGGAAAGTCTGTGCCATTCTGTCGCATCACTAGTTATGTTTGTTTTTAGTATAGGTGAAGGTTATCCTACAACACATCGTTAAATCAGAAAAGTTGGAACCAAGACCATTGCATTAGTATCGTTATAATTTTCTTGTAAAAAAATATATTTCAATTATGCGTAACCTTCAAGAGAAACTGCATCACTTGATTGCATAGAATTATAATTTAACTGAATAGAAAACAAAAAATTAATTTTTTTGTGAGTTTGAAACAGTTTCTTAATTATGTTTTGTTATATATGTCTTTTTCACAAACTCCTATTATTCACGAAAATATTTTTGAACAAGTTGCAGTATGTTTTTAACAGCTGAAGAGGTGGCATTGAGTAAAAGAAAATTGAAACACTGCAGTTATTGTCCAAAGGTATTATAAATTATAAAATTATAATTTATTTCTAGAGATATTCATTATGGGGTCACATAATTTCATGAAAGTATTCCACTCTGTCAGAGTATTTACTGATTGTTTCTGTTATTTTATATTAAAGAGTTTCGTCAGTTAGCCTGGAATGGTATTTTGGTTCTTTGCTTAATATGTTGGAGTTAAGGCATTCAAACTGATGGTCTTTGTGGATTCTGTGTTCAGTTAATAAATTTTGTCTTTCTTCTATTTGTTTATGTTGTTCCGATTTTCTCTTACTAGATCATTCAATTTTCTAGTTGTGTGTCCTACGTAACAGTAATTACATTGTTACAATATATTACTCCTTTTCTAATTTAGAGACAGAATCGTTTTTAAGTTTTATGTAGAAATGTTTTTATATGGAGTTCCTTATTTTGATACTATATTGATCTAAAAATGCTGATTTTCTCCAAAATTGATTTTCCACATTCGTTCTAGCCCTGGAATTTGAATCGAAATTTTGGTTTCAGGGGGTACTTTACTTGAAGCATCTGGGATATTTTCAAAATTTTTAGAAAAGGCCTCCAAATTTTTTAAATATTTTTTGTTTGTAGAATAGTACAAAGGGCGTTTAAGAGAATAGTGCAGGTCTCATATTCGTTGACATCTCCTATTTTTCGATAATTGAAAAAATAATTAATATCTCAAAATTGGAGATAAAGATTTTAGTCTCAGGCAAAGTCTGTTGTACAAAATTATCTCTTCAAGAAAGACTTTGTACATTTTTTTTTAAAAAAGGAGAAGTTTGTGCGTATTTTGCGATTGAAATTTACAAAAATAGTCTCAAGATCCACTCCCAATGTTTTCTTTAAATTTGTGTCCACTTATGTAATAAGGAATTGTGAGAAATATAGCGCTAGTCTCAATTTCGGGAATGTCTCGATTTTTTTGAAAGTTGCAAATAAAAAAAAGCCAACTGCAATCGTGACGATCCAGCTTACAATACTGCCAAAAACAAGACAGACTGACCATTCTGGCATCAGGGACAGACAATAGACCAAGACAACAACTGAAGAGCTCAATCAATCTGAAATCTCTTCGCGAACTAATAAACGGAACAGTACTACAACAGGCCAATACTGGAAAAACGCAGTCCTCCTCAGTGCTGCCTCAGTGCAGTCTGCAGTGGAAGCTGAGCTGTGAAGTATGCATCGCGCAGTGCATTGTGGTCAGCGCAGTGAACCGTGGATGTGCATCGGACTGTGCGATAGTGTAGAAGAAATGAACAGTGTAAATAAATAATTAATAGAACGGAGTCGTGTGTAAGGAAAATAATCAAGTGAAGAACACAAGGATTCTGTAATATATCTGGTAATAAATGAAATATTTTAGTGGAGAATTGTTTACGGATAAACGTTTTTCTTTAAATAATACCTGTGTGTGTTTTAATTCACCACCGAGAAACGTTATATGTTTACAGCTACGGGGGCAGATGAAATCTCTCATTTTGCGTCTCTTGTAAAATTAATTTTGAAGCATTATTTTACATGCAGAATTTACTATGTTTGTAAAAACAAATTTGCAGAGATAAAAGGGAAGAATGTGAGATGTTTAAAAAAATAATTTTATTTAAAGGTCAATAAAACTATCGTAATGTAAACCAATGAAGAACTTGTGTATTTTCATTCTGAACATACTTTAGTATTATCTTATTAGAGCTATTTTTTATTAAAATACTGCAATTGTTTTTGTGAAACCTTTCCCTATAAAAATTGGTATGGAGGTAATATTTATTTCAGTGAGAAGAATAGTTTCCGGTGTGTTAATTGCCACAGCACAAACTCCTCCAATCATGTAGGAACCTAAAATTATTCACTAAAATATAGATAAATTAAATTAATGACTGATCACTTTTTTTCACTTGTGTGTATAACCATAGAGTACGTAACCTCCTTAGTCTATGATATAACTATATTTTATCCAAATTGATATATAAATTCAATTTTGTTTACATTTAATTGTGAAAATGAATATAATTTAAATGATTAAATAAATTATTTTAATTTCAATGATCGTACGGAGCATGATTGTATACATGTCAGTGCATTGCCTGCGAAGAAATTTTGAAATCCAGCGCAAAGGATGGTAAGAAATCATGTCGAATAAGAACTCCAAATAACAAAAAAGGCACAAACCTCAGACACTATTCTAGAAATGCTTACGGAACTTAGCGACCCTGTCAACGAGTTAAAACAAGATAATATATACCTAAAGAAAGAAACAAAGAACTCACATCGTTGAGAAAAGAATTTGAAGAGCTAGATATATCAAGAAACAGAGACATTGAAGAGTAAAAAAAAATTAAAGAAGAGACCAAGAAAACCACAGAAATTAAAGGATTCCAAACAGCCGAAGATGTAAAGAAAAAATAAATAGAGATAAATAATCAATTTTTAGGCGAATGCAAATGGCAAAACACAAGAATCCAAGGTTTGTTAGAAAAAGCAGAAAAGAATTATAAAGAACTCTAGGAAAAGTCTCAACAGGAAACGAAAGAATTATAAAAATATTCGACAAGACTTGCAGTTATTTATTAAAAACTTCAAATCCTAGAAGACAATAAAATGAGAAGAAATAGAAACGACAGAAGAAATAACAATTAAATGCACAGATATAGAAAAGAACGCAGCTGACCAAAGGCAACAGAGACGATCTCACTATCGGCCAATTAGTAGTATGTCTAACATGCATAAACTCTTTTCTAAAATTCTGACAAGGACAATGACCAAAATACTGGATGAATAGCAGCCACCGGAACAA